AAGGGCTTTACTAAATACTAAGGGAGAACAAAAGGGAAATAATTACAGAAAACACGAAAAACCCAGCCCTGGCTGCCAAGTTCCCAAAGTACAGGTTTCCATTCCTTTGGTGACAACACATCGTTCCACAGGCCTGGGACAAGGTCGTGGGCACCTCGCCTGGCTTCCCTTGTTTCCAGCCCTGGTGGTGGACGCCATCTTGTTTCCCACCCTGGGAACCACTGGGTCACCCTTGGGTTTACCTCCCGACCCCTCCCACTCAGCCCCACCCCCGGCCTCCCACTGGGTTCTGGTCTCTGGTTGGAGTCATGAGTCTTGTCCCTTGGGGGCTAGTGGGCTGTGGTGACCAACCCAACACATGATTACACAGAAATGGGAGGTGGTTCTCCCACACTTACACAGTCCCCTGAAAGGCCCACCCAAGTTGAAAGGTCTTGAATATGCTCCTGGGGGAGAGGGGTCCCTCTGAGGGGCTTTTGAGTAAGCAATGAAGACTTGGGACATTTTCCCTGTGGGGAGAGGAGGAGTCTCTGAGGGGAGGGCTAGCCCAACTCAGTGCATAGTTACTAAGCCCTACCAGGAGACCTACTAGCCACTGAGCTGTTGGAGCTGCACAGGTGAACAAGAAACAACATTTGCCTTCTTCAATCTTAAGATCTTTGAGGTGAGCAGATAAGCGCCTTGACAGTTCCCATACTGAGGACCAGGTGACACCATTGAGGGGCATCTTCCTCAGGGTTGGTGACCAGCAAAGGCATTGGATACTGACTAGAAGAGGTTCATGGAGAGAAGAAGGGCTCAGGGCTGGGTCAGGGTGGGTCTGCAGGAGGCAGGAGAAGGCAGAGACCAACCGAGCCTCTCCATGCTGGTGACTGGGGAGCTCTTGGCTATACAGCATATCCAGCTTCTAAAATGAAAAGGCCCTTAGCTCACAGTTGCCCACTTGTGCTCTCTGCCAGCCAGGAAGGGGCAGGTTTTGGTCCTTGTGGATAGGCTACTCTCAGTGACCTCTGTCCAGAGAGCCACTAAGACACCTTACCAAAGCAGGGGCTGCACTGTCATTATAGAGAAGGACAGTCAGAGATACTGAACAGGCTAGAACAAAATGGAAAAATGAGTCAGACAGCTTTTTTTGTTTGTTTGTTTAGAGAGCAACTGACTTTATAGCCTAGATTGGCCTGGAACTCATGATTTTCCTGCCTCAGCCTCCAAAGAGCTGGGATCTCAGGGGTGTGCCACTGGCTAAGTCAAGAAGCTGTAAGCCAAGCGTTGGGATGGGTTAGGGCAGGAAGACGAAGACTGTGACTAATACCGGTGTGGGAACCTCCATGTTTGCAGGCAGTGGGGGACTCTGGGGCTGACCTGCAGGAAGGCATACATGACCTCTCAGGGACCAGCATCTCTCCCACCCAGCATGTATTTGTCTGACTCCCTGAGACGGGCCGGCCCTGTGCTCAGGGCTGCTCCCTCCCATACACCAAACATTTAGTTTGCCAATTACCCATTCTGCTCCAGCAAGGAAAAGACCTAGAAAAGTTTCTAGATGGTTCCCTGCTTTCAAGGTACTTGCAATCTGGTTGGAGATAGAGCTCATGCTCGCTGGAAAGAGCTTTGGAAGATGTAGGCTGGATCCCCACTGCTGTTCCTTCTTTGGTAGCTAAATGCCTACTAGCAAATTACTTACATTCCCTGGGCCTTCATTTTCCCTTCATCAAAATGGGCTAGGAATGTAGCTTAGTGGTAGAGTACATGCTTTTGGTATGCTAGGACCTGGGTTAGAGTCCCAAAATCACCAAAAAGGGAGGGGGTTAGTTAAAAACTCCCTCATGGGATTGTTGGCAGAATTCATGAGTTGGGGTGTCTTAAAGCGTCAGGTGTGCTGTTTGACATACAATATGTGCTCAAGAAATTAGACCACCCTCTCTTGGGACCCCTCCCAGCTTTGGGAGCTCTACCCTTTGCTACTTTTCTGTCTTAATAAACTGTCCCGCTTTACTCACTCTCTTGAAAGAAATTGCTGGTTGTGGTGGTGCACGCTGGTGAAGAGGATACGGCACAAGGATCATGAGTTCAAGACAAGCCTGGGCTACACTTTGTTAAATAAATAAATAAAAGGTGAGCACCCACTGGTGGCTCACGGCTGTAATCCTAGCTACTCAGGAGGCAGAGATCAGGAAAATTGCAGCTCAAAGCCAGCCCAGGAAAATAGTTCACAAAAAAGGGCTAGTGGAGTGGCTCAAGGTATAGGCCTGAGTTCAAACCCCAGTACCACAAAAAAAAAAAAAAAAAAAAAGCAAAAACCAGAAAGAAATTCAACTAACTCTCAAAGGATTGTGACATTGAACAGTCAAGTGTTGAACTGTGGTTTCTGTCTTTGCCATCCTCTTAACAGGTAGATGCATCAGAGGACTTCAATGGCACTTGAGGATTGATGGCCTGGGTTGTGACAGAGAGAATTTGTATGCGTGTGCATGTATATGTGCACATAAACCTCTCTGTCATCCCGCTCCTCTGCAACTGGCAGAGCATAAGCTTCTTTATTTTCTGCACAATCCAAAATTGAATTAGAAATCATACCGTTCAGCTACCATTGCTTCAGCCCTACGGAATGAGCAGTGTTGTCATTCCCACTTTCCAGATAGAGGAAGTGGGCTCAGAAAGTGAAGGCTATGGCCTGAGGCTACCTGGCCCGTCAGCAGTGGGGTCCCAACACAGGGGAGCAGAGCTATGGTACAGCTGCCCTGGACCAGAGGCAAACAGTAGTAACTTCTACTGAAGTTGTATGACTTTTAGAGTCTGGTTTCTGCTACCTTGCTTTTCTTAGCAAATTCATCTGATAAGCTAGAAAGCTGGGGTTAGAAGGTTATGGCTTGCGGCCTAGTGACAAGAGACAGGGATGCACTTGTGGAAATCGCAGACACTGCCCAAGGTATTGAGTTCACTTGGGAATGTGGAAAGAGTGCTTCGGCATCCCCAGTCATCTGCATGAGTGGAAATGTCAAGGGACATCAGTGTTACCTGGGGCAAATAGCTAGAGCACAGTAGAGCTAAAGGGATATGCGTCAAGTAACAGATCTTAGGAATGAATACGCGCACACACGAAGTTCACATTCCTATCTGACCACAGTTATAGCAAATATCTCCCATACATAAGTGCTTAAAATACTCAGTATAAATAAACATATATGATAGACTATTAAATCTACACATTCGTGCACAATGCACAAAACTCCAGATCCAAAATAGATACACATGCATATGCATACTTAGATGTTATGGGCAATCACACCCACTCATCCTCACTCACAGACCCAAGACCCTCTACTATGAGTCTGGAACCAGGAAGGAATCTGTCTACCCTGAGAGCCCTAGCATGTTGGAACTTGTCAGAATGTTCTTTGCAGCCCCTGCTTAGCTGGCCTGTGAGTAGGCCCTGGCCCCTGAACCTCCAGACTCATGGCCGGCTGGGCAGCCCCTCGTGGGTGGGCAGAAGGCGATGGACACAGAGGTCACTGGGGTGACAGCCAGGACTGCCCTGGCTTCCCTTCCTCTTGGCTGGAATGTGAGCTCAGGGGCCATCTCCCAGGCCCATCTCCTCCTCCACAGCCACCCACCAGCCCCAGGCCCAGCCAATTGTGACTCTGAACCCTAACAGGTTTTTGCTGCCAGGGAGTTGGGCACAGAAAGCCATGAAGGTGGTGGAGCTAAAGAGCTATGGAGGACCAAGGGAGGGCACACCCAAAAGCACAGAGACATGCATGGTCACACACAGAAGTCTGTCCAGGTACGCACGCACATAGAAGGACACATACAGGCAGAGACACAAGTAGGCACACAGACTCACAATCCCACCAAAATTCATGTTCGTACACATTTTCAAACAGCTCCAGAGACACAATGGACACCATCACACGGGCATACAGAGATTCCCAAAGACCCAGCCCCCACACAGTGGTTCAGTGGGCACACACACAGAGTTTTCACAGCTACACACAAATGTCCATGCACGTGCAGAGGCACATACCCCATCACTGGAGCATTTCTTTCTCAGCCTGGGCCCAGGAGATGCCAGGCTAACCCATTCTCCACACCCCTGGTTGGCTGGCCTGGCAGGGAGGCCTGAAAGGGCTGCTTCCTCAGCAGGAAATAGTGCTGGACCTCCAGCCAGGTGCCTTGAGGTGTTTCCTGTGGGCCACCCACAAGACCTGCTGCTTGCCTGCAGGGCTAGGAGGGTGATAGGTTAGGTGGAGAGACGGTTCTGGAGTCACGTAGCTAGAGTTTTGTCTCTGTCAGTTCTTGGTACACACAGGCCTGTGCGAGCACACGCACACACTTTCCAAGAGCACACATGTACATTGTCAGCTTATGCTGGCTGGATACTCTCACAGCACCGGCTTCTTCAGCTACAAAAAAAAAAAAAGAAGAAAAGAAAAAAGAAAGGGTTCGTCATCCTTTCACCCCTAAGGATTGTGTAGATGTCATGCAGTGGCCACAAAAGGCCATCCCATAGATCCAGGGCCGGCTGCAGTCCCTGCAGAGGACGCTAAAGTCCTGAGCATCAACTCAATGTTAGATGTTAGACACCGCACCTGCAGGCGCCCACTCCAGGTGTCTGACCCAGAGGAGCCAAGTCAGGTGTAGCCCGTGGGCTGGCCTAGGGGCAAGCTAGAGCCAGGCTCTGCGGAACTTAGGGTCTGTGCTCCCGCAGCGCCACTTCCACGCCCTGCGGGGTCACGCCATTCAGTCCCTAAGCAGCCACCAACCCGCGGGGGGGGGGGGTCCAGCTCGCTCAGGCTGCTCCGGGGGCCTCGGGGGTGGAGCTCAGTGGGCGGGGCGGGCCTGGAGCCCCGCCCCGATGGACAGCCTTGAAACCCAGCCGCCCGACAAGCTTCAGTCCACAAGGGAGCTGCAGTCTGAGCAGGAAACTGCATCTTCAGACTTCTGCCCAACCAGGAAAGGACCTAGGGTCGCACCCGGCGCTCAAGGACCCTCCTAGGATCCCGCCTGCCCCACGCCGCCAGGCTGCTCCCCGCCAGGTTCCCCAGACACAGCCTCACCTGTGGGCTCCCTATTCCCCCAGCCTCCAGTGGATGCTCAGGCCAACCGCGGGGACCTCGGGACAACCGTGAGAGGGACATCCAGCTCCTCACTCAGCTCTCCTCCTGTACCAGCGGCTCCCCCAGGGGGACGAGCATGGTGATTGTCCCTTGGAGTACATTCGATCCGGACGTCTGAGAAGATGCTAGCCATGAGGTTGTTCACTTGCTTCCTGCAGCTCCTGGCTGGGCTGGCCCTGCCTACTGCACATTCCCGGGTAAGGACTCCCCCACTCCTGCCTGGCTCCCCCGACCTTCCCATCCCAGTACTGGAGACAGGGGACTCTGAAATCACAGAGCTCCAAGAAGCAGCACTTCTTAGGATGTCCACACATTTCTCAGGGGTCAGGCTGGACTTGCGTCCGCAGGGAGGAGACTCAGACTGGGCTGTCCCCAGCTCTGGGGGGCTGTCTTGGTGGGGGGCAGGGAAGCCACAGGGAGAGAGGGAGGTTTCCTGTCTGGCCCTTGAAGCCCTAGTGGCTTTGCTAAAAAAGCATCTGCTCACTAATCCCAGGCAGTTCCCTGGCCTTGTGGTCAGGGTCGAGGCCCCATGACCAACCAGACGCCCCCAGGACCTCTGACCTGGCCTGGTGGGGAGGAAGACAGCAAAAGAGGCTGGTGGTGGGGAGACTAGGCCCTGCCCCCACTGGGGTTCAGGTCAGAGCTAGGGGCTCTTGGGTTGGGCTTGGGATAAGACATGGGGTCCTCTTGTGCCCTCTCTCCTGGGTGGGTGGCTGGAGGTCTTGAGTGCAGGGCCTGGGGAAGTGAGCAGGGCCCTTTTCCCAGGAGCGGGTGAGTCTGGCTGGGAGCCAGATTGGGCAGCAAAATCCTGACAAAGCCAATGAGCTCCCTTCCCATTGCACTGCCCTGGGAGTCCCCAGCCCCAGCCCAGTAGTGGGTGGGCTGGGCAGTTGCCTGGCCTAGCAGCCCAGCCACCAGCCTGCTTGCTGCAGGGCTGGCCAGAGGTGTAACATTACCAGCAGCACCAGCTCATGGCGCCGCCTGTTCCAGCCCCTCAGCTCCCACCAGCTGATCACCTCCCCCTGGGTCTGGCGTCCAGCCAAGGCGGGCTGTACAGGCCCAGCAGGGCTGGCCTGGGGGCTGGATAGAAGGGAGACCCCACAGGGTTGAAAGATCTTTGGGACACAGGAGGCCTCCAAAAGTCTCTAGCCTTCTACCCTTTTCCAAATGAGGAAACTGAGGCCAGAGAGAGGTGGGACTTAACCCAGGGTCCAGTTGGCTTTCAGTTGCACCTAGAAATAGGCAGTTCTGAGACAGGACAGAGTGTGTATGTATGCACAGGGTAAGGAGGAGTTCAGAGGGATCTCTACCCTCTTGTCATCACAGTTGATCCCAGAGGCCAGCTCCTCCAAGGAGAGCCCCACTCTCATCTCTGTATCATTCTGTTCACAGCAGAGTATCCTGTCTTCTGGGAATGGCTCATCAGAAGTGGAAGGTAAGCCAGCCAGGCTGGGGTACAGATGCTCAGTCCCTCTGTTCTTTCCTCCCAATCCCCAGCAGAGGATGGGAAGGGATTGGATGAAGGGTGGGTGCAGTCTGATAGTAAGCTACAGAGAGTCTACGAACTAGCCATCCTGGCTAGGGCCTGAGAGATCCACCCATTGTGACCCAGCGGCCTGGAGAGGTCATCCCGCAGACCAGTAAAGCCAGGGTCATCCAGCTGGCTCAGAGCCGCTTCTCAGCATGCTATAAAGGTGCAGATGGAGTTTGGGAGAGCAGGGTGGATGTTGAGTGCCAGGGGCCAGACTGGGGGTCTGGGAGCTAGAAGCAGCGGGCAAGCAGTCAAGGGGATTGGGCGGGTGGGGAGAAGGGATCTTCCAAGCAACCCAACCCTGCTGGAGCTACAGGGATCTGACCAGACCTTTCCATTGATTACAAACAGACAGAATACAAGTTGTGCCCTCCTGGCCCCTCCACTCCCTGTCCTGGGTTGCATCAAGAGGGAATCTTCAAAGGGCAACAACACCTTTGCCAAACAGACATATGCAGAAGAAGTTCCTGTGCCAGGCCCCCTGCCTCCTCGTCCCTCCCTGCTTCTCCAAGATGTACAGGGTGACCACACACCGCTGCTGAGGCTGCCCACTGAGCTGTAGGAGAGGGGCGTGTAGGGACATGCTCACGCACACTCGTGATAGCCGTCTGTGGGCTGGTAACACCCTCTAGTGGCCTGCCCACCCCCCACTTGCCTGCCTGTCTGATAGTAGCCTTTGCTGGGCCTGGCCATGCCCTCCTGCCCGAGGTCCCTTGGTCAGTGAACAGGTAAGGAGAAGTAGCTGCCTTTTACTTCAGTGGCTTTCTCCTTGATGTGCCTTCTGGAACTAGCATACTATTACACTCTGGGATTTGGAGAGGGACCCATCCCCTGCCTCCACACCATGTTCTGTTTTAATACTTTCAGTATAGTTCAGGGAACAACTACCTAAGAGGTCTCAGCCTCACTTTCTTCATCTGTAAAATGGGAACATTAGACTACTTGATATTGAAGGCTTCTTCTTTGTCTAAGATTGCAGGATTCTTTGACTCCATGGAGGAGACATAGGTATAGATACCTCCCAAGGATCCTGGGTGAGGAGGCTTGGAAGTGTAGATTCATGAGGTCAGCTCATCTGGCATCCTAATCAGTCATGGGGCCTGCGTTGTGGCCAAGGGAGCACAGTTCTTAAAATCCCTTCCTGCTAATACTAGAGCAAGAAGCAGTGCAGTCCACCATGGACACTGATTTTTACTATCGCCCTTCATGGTTCTAGTGTCATTTATTGTCATTCCATCTGACCACAAGGCTGTGAATTAGGAAGGTATTTGCATTTTCTGCATTTTAGGTTCAGAGAGCCAGTGGGGTTGCCTAAAGCCTCAGGCACTCCTCAGTGTATTTGGCAGAACCAGCATGCTCAGCTCCAAGCCTCCCAGCTGCCCTGCAGGCATAAGCGGGGTGTCCCTTGTGGCCAGCTGGCTGGGTGCCCTGCCAGTGAGTAGGATACCTGCCGGGCTCTGGCTGGTGGCCAGCAGCCACCCCGAAGTTCTCTTCAGAAGCCTACTCTCAGTATTAATATTTCCCTTCTTGGGTCTCCTCCATTCTGGGTCGTAGGCAGCTGGGGACAGATGGAGACACACCCACAGCGCTGGAGAGAGAGCTGAGAGTGCACTCATAGCCCCAAGAGTGGCCCTGGTGGGTGGAAACGCCCAGCCCTGGGCAGGAACAGCCTCCTTTCCTCTCACCCCACCCCCACCCCAACCCAGAACAGGTCTGGGGCCAGCGGAAGTGCTCTCAGGAGCGGCTGAGAGGAGCTCAGCCACATCTGGGGGCTGTCACTGCGCTCCCTCTGCTGGCCCCTCACCCAGCCCCCTTTGTTTCTCCCACACACCCAGACAGGGGCCTCCAGGGATGAAATGCCCTTTTTCCCAGTAGCTGCCAGGTAAATCAGGCCCTGGCCCACCTCCTTCTCAGCCCTTTCCCAACATGGTCTGGCCACCTGGGCCAGAAACCAGTAGGTTTCAGGATTTGGGGGCCCTGGAGCCTGGATACTGTAGACAAAGCGTTTGCATAATGGGATATAAGGGTGAGGAAAGGAAATCCCTTCTTCTGCCACCAGCTCCCAGACTGCTTTGCTCAACCTGGCCATGGCCTCAACAGCCTGGCCTGGTGGAATTTTGTTTGTGGGATGGTAGGGGGTCAGGGTGCCCCCTTCTCTGCTGTTGACCACTTCCCCGACAGTGGGTTCCAAAGCAAGAGCCTTCCATGTTCTTTGGCAACTGGCTATATTTATATTTCCTCTGCAGAGATTAACTGTTCAGGGTGGCGTAGTGCTCATGAAGGTTTTAGACTAAACACACAGCTCATGAAGCTGGCGATAGGAAGGTGCTCTCTGACCCCCATGCCACAAAGGCAGGCTTCCCTGGGCTCTAGGGCCGCCTAAGGGGAGAGAGGCCTTGTTTCCTACTAGGGTTTAAGAGGAGTGTTCAGTCCCTGGAAAGGTAGAGTCAGAGAGCCTCTGAATCCTCCTGTAGTGTGTGGTCTAGCCCAAGTATCCTCCAGGGAGAGCAGAGCAGGATGAAACAGCAGACACCCAGATAAGCACGGTTTATTGCCTCAGTGGCCGCCCGCAGCTTCACGTGGACACACCACCTCTTGGGTATTTTCCACCAGCCTGCAGCCTTTCCTGAGGGCCTCTGCTATGACGGAGGTTTGTTTTTCTCATGAGATTACCCAGAGTCTCATGTCCTCATAGGCTCAGTGGAATGGACTTTGGCCCCATCTGCCTGCCGTGGAAGCGAGGGGCTGCTAGGAGAGGCCGTTGCTCTATGCCAGGGCAGCAAGGTTCCCAGGTGACCCAGCTCCCTTGTCCTCCCCGACTTACTGAGGATGAGCATCAGATGCAGATCAGGATGACCCGACTGGGGATATTTCTCTGCCCACAGTCTCAAGGCTGGGCCAGGCTGCGTCCTGTGCACTGAAGCACAGTCTGTCAGAATAGAAAAGATTTTAGCAACCAATTGTTCCCAGCCTGCTTCTTTTCCCCCAGCTCAGGAAACTGATATACCCAGAAAGGCTAAGTGACCTCCCCAGGGTCACACAGCCAGTGTAGGGCCTGAAGACAGATGTCCTGGCTCTGGCTATTCCCTGCTTTGGGTTCTGGCCCCAGGCCTTTCCCTGAAGGAGCAGTATCTTTTGAGGGATTCCAGATCAGTCCCCTATCCCAAAGATCCCGTCACTACCACCAGGGCACTGCATGGTCAGCGATGCTCCTGGAAATGCTTGATGAACCATCACCTAATCAGTCAGAAGCCACTTAGCCTGTGTTTATGGGGGCTTTTGTCTTCCCAGAGCCCCAGTTTGGCTGTAATGGAGATAAGTGCCACCAGTGATAAGTGCTCCAGGTAAGCCCTGGAGCCAGGCTGCACTTCAGGGAGGAGCCCCACTCCTGGTAGAATTGCTGGAGAAGGCTACAGGGAGGAGTGGGGAGGTGGTGTTGGGAGTAGAGGCTGGCTATGTGAACAGTAAGGAAAGAGGGGAAAGCACATCCCTTCCCTGGACCGTGCACAGTAAAAGCCCAAAGCTAGGGAGGAACGGGATGTGCCCTGGCTTGGTACACGGGCTGGTGGGATTATGTGGAGAAGAAGCTGGGGCACATGGCTGGATGTGAGCTTGGCTACTGATATCAGGTGGGGCAGGACATGAGGGAACCATTGCAGGTTTGGGGACAGAGGGCCTAGGAGAAGGCCGGTCCTATGTGCAGGACTCCAGAACTGTTTTCTTCAGTAAGTTCCCCAACACAGAGAAAGCACTAGATCAGGCCCAAGAAATATCCAGGGAGCCAGAGGAGCTGCCACAATGCAGTCCTCGAAGCTCCAAGGAACCAAGGAGACACAGGTACCTGAGTAGAGAATAGAACCCAGAGCTCAGGCCTCTGAGAGATTCTGCTTCCCTGGGATATGCTTCTCCAAAAGAGCCAACCAGCCAGCAGCGTCCCAGAGGAGTTACATCAGTGGTTCCAAACAGAGGGGCCTTGTATGGGGCCCAACGAGGAGCCAAGTCTGGGGCACCAAGGAATGGGCCCTTGCTGGCCTGACCTGGCCTTCTTACTCCCCATAGTGGTGCCCTTCCATGAAGTGTGGGGCCGCAGCTACTGCCGGACGATGGAAAAGCTGGTAGACATCATGTCCGAGTACCCCAACGAGGTGGAACACATATTCAGTCCATCCTGTGTTGCCCTGCAGCGCTGCACTGGTTGCTGTGGTGATGAGAACCTGTACTGTGCACCAGTAAAAACCGCCAATGTCACCATGCAGGTAAGGAAACTCTCCTCCTCATGCCATCCCCTGCCCCACAGCCCGCATCCTGTGCAGAGGCCCACCAGAAAACACCTGGAGAGAACAAAAGCAGGCCAAGTTCCCAGGCCTGGAATCCTGGGATTCCAGGGCTCTCCCTCCTGAGCACCCGTCATGGCCAGCCCAAGCTACCTCACCTGCACCCTCAGCAGGCCTCAACCTTTTACTTTCCACACAGGTCCTGAAGATCCCCCCTCAATTTGAGGCTCAGCCCTCCTATGTGGAGCTGACGTTCTCTCAGCACGTGCTCTGCGAGTGCAGGTAGGTCCTGGAGAGCGCAGCAGAGACAGGCCTGTGTACTTAGCAGCCAAGGTAGAAACTGCCTTGCTGCAGGCTGCACTTGCTTCCCTGGTAAGTGGTCCTGGGCTTTTCATTCTGTGCCTAGGAAGCTGGTCCCAGCAGCTGGAGTATAGCTGCCAAAAAGCCACAGGGGAGGAAGAAGCTGAGTTCCTCCTAGACTTGTAGGGGCTTAGCACATGTCGTCCCCCTCCTCTGAGATGGGAGGCAGCTACCACTGGCCCCTGGAAGAGATGCCTGGAGGCAGTCATGGCAAGCCTGGACTTGGTTCTGAGCCAGGCTGAGGCAAACTGGGCTGAGATGTAGAAGGGAGGACCAGCCCCACTAGGAAGAAAGGGGTGAAAGAAAAGAGGCTGTGTTTTTTAGAGTTGTAGCCCACTGACACTCTGCCCGTCCCCCACTCACCAGAGGCTCTGCCCAGCAGTAGTCTTGCTGACTGTCCTGGGCACGTGGAACATGTGTTACCAAGAGCAGGAGGCTTGGCACTGTTACCTGGGTTCAGTTAGAAAGAGATGGGCTGAGATGCAGGTCTTGGTACCACTGGGCTATGGAACTCACCAGACTTGAATTCTAGAGCCCCAGCAGAGGCAGGAAGAGAGGAAAACAATCACTTATTGTGCACCTACTGTACCCAGATACATAAAATGGAGTCACTTGTGTTTATTGAGTGCCTGTTCTATGCCAGGCATTGGCCTAGATGCTTGGGAAACAGTGATGAGCAAGGTAGATAAGGTCCCTGCTCTCCTGGCCCCCTACCCCACTGTCCAGATGAGGAAACCTATGCTCAATGCAGTTCCATGGTTTGCCACAGCTCATGAGTGTGGAGGAGGAATTTGGGTTTACCCCTAAACCTCCCTTTTTCATGCTGCCTTTCTTGGCCATTGCCAAATTCTCCTGTAGCCCCAGGACTGCCTAGGCTTGGCCATGCCTAGTGTCCAGGGTTCTGACTACCCCCTTTGAACCTGATCCCTGGCCCCTGGCCCAGCTTACCATACCAGTGTTGGGGGTCCTGCCTCAAACACATCCCTCCCAGGCACAGCTTAACCAGGTCATGAACCCTTTTGGGCAGAGGCGGGATGGTCACCTTTGTTTTCACAGCCACTCTTTTTGGAGCAAGCAGGCGAGGAGAGTAAGGCTCCAAGAGTGTCTCTGACTTGACTAGTCTGCAGAGATGCAAGCAGGCATTCCCAGGGAAGGGGCCAGCCCAGGGCCGCATTCCCTCCCTAACCCAGAGGTGACTTACCACATTGCCCCAGTTTCCACCCTCTGCTCCCAAGGGGACTGGGGCTCAGTCCCCTTCCCACAGGCCAGGCAACAGGGACACCTTTCTTCTCATTTCTGGGCCAACAGCCACAGCCCCAGGAGGCAGAGCTGGGACATGCCTGGGGACTGTGCAGCTTGTGCTCACCTCCCTTGATCAGCCCCACCCACTCCCCCTGCTGTTGCCAGGGTGAGGTGAGGGGTGCGCCCTGACAGGCAGCCTTAGCTGGCAGCAACCACTGCCCTGTCCGTGGTCATGCCCATCATTTACTGTCTGTGAGGAAACTCCCAGAATGCACCCGGGAAGGAAAGGGAGGAAGAGAACAGAGAAAATGAAGCAGCAGAGAACAGACTCAAAAGACCCCAGATTTGATGCCAAGAAGTGGAGACATGCAGAAGCATGTGAGAAGGAACCCCAAGGGGGAAATCATACGTCTCTTGATGGAATTGCCAGAGCCTAGGGCTTTTGGCTCTCTCTGGCTTTCCGGCTTCATGCTGCCCCCTAGTGGTCTCACCATCATCTAGACCAGCACTTGGGAAATTTGGAGGGAGGTGTGGAGGGGGCAGGAGGCCCCCATTTAACTGCTCACCTGATTCACACACACCCCACCACCGCCCCTCTTTCTGTCTGTTTCCTTAGACCTCTGGAGGGGAAGACGAAGTCAGAAAGGTAAGTGACCTGGCTGGGGTTCGGGGCTATTCTCAGGCCTGCCAGTACCTGTCCTAGCATGGGGTCCCCCAGCTACTTTGTCCTGACGCTTTTGGCTTATTGCAGGAGGAGACCCAAGGGCAGGGGGAAGAGGAAGAGAGAGAAGCAGAAACCCACAGACTGTGAGAAACCCCACCTGTGAGTGTGCGGGGGACCCAGGGATGACAAGAAGGCTGGGCTGGAGGGGGGCTCCTGCCCTGCCTATAGGAATCAGTGATCAGGGAGGGGGAGAGATAAGGCTCAGGGAGTCTTGGGGGCCAGGACAGGGGATTTGCCCCCTCAAGTGTCCAGGAAGCATCAAAGGACCTTGGTTCTTGGCTTAACCTCAATCTCTGTGTGACCTTAAACAAATCATTTTTCTTTGTAAAATAATAGGGCAGGGAGTACACCAAACATTCGGTCAATCTGCAAACATTTACCAAGAACTTCCTGTGTGCCAGGACACCAACCAACAACCAAGGTTCCTGGGTTATAGTGGGGCTACTTCCTGGCGGCCCCAGGAAAGGTGCAGGCCCCCCTGGCTCCCAAGCCAGTGTTTCTGTCTTAGTGTCACCTTGCTTCCTCTTCCCCCTTTCCCTGTTCCCTGTCCATCTTGGCTACACACCTGGAGTCACAGGTTTAAGTGTGACTGGGAGAAAAGGATTTGCGAAGGGAACCCCCAGATTTGTGAGAACAGATAGAATGTTTCAGTGCACAGTAATCAGGCACACTGGGCTCCCAAAAGTCTCCTTCAAGCTTCAAGACAGGAAATCATTTCATGCTATGGAGCTGACCTCAGCCCTGACGCCATGACCCAGCTCCTCCATCAGGGGACATTTCCCTCCAGTCACTGAAGGCAGGGATTCGGGGAAGTCCATCCACCTAAAACTTATGGCCCTCATTTCTAGCCCCACACAGCAATTTGGGGGAAGTAAATAGGTGGTGAAATCCATTCAGGGCTGCAACCCCAGCCAGGCATTCCCAGGGACAGAATCCCATCTCTCTTCAAACAGCTCACTGGGGAGTCCCCCAAAAGACTTTCAGAAGTCCATGTGCTCTTTTTCATCATAATTATAAATAGTTGCAAAGGATATGGTTTCTGGCATATTGTGCGTATTTAATATTTTAATATAAAGCTATTATAACCTTGAGTATATAACTCACTCTTCAGGTATCCTATGGGGCTGGCAGAATGGCATAAGTGGTAGAGCACCCACTTACCAAATGTGAGGCTCTGAGTTCAGACCTCCAGGATCACAAAAAAAAAAACCCCAAAAAACAAACAAACAGAACCAAGATATATCCTCTGGAATATGCCATCCTATTTTAAAAAAAATGAACTGCAAAAAAAAATATGCACATCCTTCCTTAATAATTACATATTTACATTGCTTCTATTTTTCTGGGACTTTGTTTCCATTTCACTTCCCACACAGAATTTCAGCCTAATGTAATATTATTTTTAATGCACAAATGTCTTTTATGTATCACCTTATTATCAGCCACAAGGGTGGTATATAATTTTGAATTATTTTAAATTTCCTGTGACCATAAAACCAAATTCAATTTTGTCCTGGAATAAATTATCAAAATAATTATTAGTAGTACCACTTGATCAAAATGGCACAAATATACGATATTGTAATAAATAAAAACATAAAAGTTCAATCCATGTCATTGGGAATGCATCTCAATGAGACAGGTGTGGTCCCCTCTTTTCAATTAGTCAATGAATCCATTAATGAATGTTACTTCCTCCCAGATGGAGACAGGATTCAGCATAAATTCCGGTCCTGTTTATCATATTTTTATAGATGAAAAGTTGAGAAACCATGTTCACATAAATAAGTAGATGGAACTGATGGCACTCAATTACTGGAACTCCTAAAATATTTGCCAGAAATCTCAAGGTGATCGGCTAACAAAAATTCCTTCTCATACATACTGGCTGATAACTTGGTAACCATCTTTCCTTTCTCAACACCTACACTGATACCTCAGGTAGTCCTCCTGTTTACTTTGCAGCCAAACCCTTTAGCAGGATTTGGAATGGGCAAGATGCATCCCTTCCTTTCTAGAAGGAGAAGGGCAATTGTGGGTAGGGCAGTAGACCTCAGGACTGTCTCACACAATGTCAGGTCTGAATACAAGAAGGCTGAAAATTGATTTCTTTAAAACCATCCATTCTCAGTCTTCCATTACCCAATCCCCTGCTTGAAGACTGCTACCTTCGGGTAACCAGAGGCATTATTACATGATGTAGTGACTGTGTCACTGACTAGCTGTGTGATCTTGGGCAAGTTTCTTAACCTCTCTGGGCCTCGTTCCTCATCTGTGAAAAAATGGTAATAATAGCACAAAAGAGACTGTGTTTGGCCAAGCTAAGTGCTTACTGAAGGGAAGTCCCCAGCTGCTTGGTGGCTCTGGTGGCAGGGTTCCAGGAGTGCTGCTTCCTTCCTGTGCCCCCTGTCTGAGCTACCCCTTTGGGCCTGTGTCCCCTCCCCACCATACACACAGTTAGCTGATACTTCTGTCTGTGTTTGATTTCTGGCAGGTGTGGGGACCGAAGGTAACAGCCCCTCAAGGAGAGACCCTGCACCCAGCTCGTGTATTTATTGCCGTCACCCAGTCAATGACCTCCTCTATTTATTAGCCAACTGTATCCCTGCTGAATGACTTGCTCCCTCCAAGAGGACAGGCAGGGAGGGACAGGACCCTCAGGAATTCAGTGCCTTAAACAGAACGTGAGAGAAAGAAGAAGCCAGCCACAGACCTGTGGGAGCTTCAGCTTGGGAAGAAGCAAGACATGTGGCCTTGCAAGGGGCAGACCAGGCCCCAGAGGACCTGGGTCTTCAGGGAACCAGCACCTGTCCTTGACTCCAGATTCAGCCCAGATAGCAGTTCTTGCCCTGTGGCTGCTGTGGCCCTGGCTGTGTGGAAGGCACACAGCCATACCCTCCTCCTCCTGGCAGCAGCTCTTCACCTTGGAGACCCGGATGTTCAACTCTGACGAACAGTACCTGTCTGGAATTTGCCACTCCTTATTATCTAAGGCCACTCCACACATTCTGCCACTTTCTGGGATGTGTTTTCGGCCAAGGCTCAGCCACCCTGCCCTCTCTCAGAGACACAGAATGGTGTGGAGCTGACCAGAGAGTGGGCAGAACGAGCAGCAGCCCTCTTGAAGTTGCTGGGAGAGGAGCCATTTGTCCAAGCCCCTCAGCTGTGGAAAGTGAGCAGATTCCCCAAGGGCCTTCGTGTCCCACCAGCTGCCCTTCGGGGTCTGACTGCCAAGCCAGATTCTCTCGAATAAAGTATTCTAGTCTGGAAAGAGCTTGTCCAAGGGAGTGTGTCTGTCGCAGCAGTGAGCAAAGCAAAGGATGACAACAGGACAGAGTGGGAGGTTCAGGACATGCAAAGAGCACAGGGTGGTCTCTGAACCTGCTAAGGCCAGGTGCTGGCGGCTCACACCTGTAATCTGCTCAGGAGGCAGAGATCAGGAGGATCACGGTTCAAAAGCAGCCCTGGGCAAATAGTTCACAAGACCCTATGTCGAAAAAACCCATCACGCACAAAAAAAATGGGACTGGTGGAGTGTTTCAAGATGTAGGCCCTGAGTTCAAGCCCATGCATGCTTTCTCCTTCCAATCTCCTCAGTTTGGGATTTTATTTATTTATTTATTGGCAGTACGGGTATTTGAACTCAGGGTTTTAGCCATGCCCCCAGCACTTTTTGCTTTCATTGTTATTTTTCAGAATAGAGCCTCATGTTTAGGCCCCAGGCCATCCTGGACTGCAGTCCTCCCTCCCGAATAGCTAGGATGACAGGTGTGCAATACCACAACCAGCTTTTTATTAGTTAAGATAGGATCTCCTTCACTTTTTGCCAGGCTGGCCTTGAACCGAGATCCTCCTGATCGTTGCTTCCGGTAGGTGGGATTATGGCAAGAGCTTCTGTACCCGCTTCTCCCTCCTTTTGACAGCTGCAGAAACAGGCCTGAGATGGTGAAATGATTGATTGCCCTCTGCTCCATTCTAGGGTCCATCCCACCCCAGACAAGGAGTTTATCCCAAAGTTGGGAGAAGCCTGGCCCAAGTTACCTCTGAACACCATCAAATTCAAAAGCACAGAATCCTTCTCCTGCTCCAGGACCTCCCCACACCCAGTCCCACACCCAGCCTCTGGATCCCAAGTGAGCAGGGCTCCCAGACTCCTCAGGTCCTCAGGGGAGACAACCTGACCTGGGCCCCAGTGGGACTGAACGGATATGTCTCCCACCTGCTCCAGCCCTGGATCCAGCGATCTCCTGTCCATTTGTTCCTTTTGCCTCTTAACTTTCTCTGCCTTCCTCCCTAATGCTGTTCATGAAAGAAACCTACTTTTTTTTTTTTTAAGCCCAAACCTCTTACCATCCCTCCCATCTGCTTCTGATCCACAAGGTGTTCCTTGTGTTGGCAGAAGGCAGTTCCCCATTCTCTCCTTGGCTCCACTTCCTCATTTGAAGTTGAAAACCACAGGGACCCAGGGAACAGGCAGGGACCCCACTCTGGGCCTTAGAGGGAGGCCTTGGATGGTCAGCAGGGTGGAGTGGCCCTGCTCGGGGAACTGCCCTCTACATTCTGTTCACAAAGGCCTGGGTCTTGAGGGGACCCTCTGGTCAGAATGTGCTCCTGGCTGGTGAGCACAGACAAAGGGTGTGGGTCAGCCCCAGGGGACTTCCTTTGGCAGAAATGCACTTTCCTGCTTCTCTGTGCTACAGCTGCAGCTGTTCTAAGCCATGGCCTTTGACTGGCTGAGCTGGGAAGAGCTCCTCTCCCTTTGGCCAGACCTCCAACTCAGCCCTGAGGACTCCAACCAGCCCTGTTGCATCTTCAAGGTTTCAGCTCCTTATATGTCCCACATGGAAGGCAGCCTCCCCACTCAGCCAAGGACACCTCTGGGGACCTAGACAGCAAGCAGGGCAGCTCCTGAAAGAAGCAGAATTCTCATCCTTGGCCCTGAGGGAATGACACTCAACCATGGTGGCAGCCTCTCAGATCATTTGGGTCTTCAAGGGCTCTTTTGAATTTCTTTTCACCGTTTGCAGAGCACTACATGGGTCACAGATGCCACTCCAGGAACCAAGGAGCTATGGAGCGAAAGCAGTGTGCACAGGCTCTGTC